ACGAGCTTTATCACTTTTCCTCTCCCTGTCCCGCTGTGGAGGGGGTTTGTGAGTGAGTGGCTGTGTGAGTGCTTGGCTGCTGGCCGGGGTCAGCCTTCTGCACAATTAAAGTCACGCTGCTGTCAGCGCAAACAGCGTGATCCTTCTGGGGTTCCCGGGCTTGCCATTGCTCTGTCTTTGTGGCCTGAAGATGTTGGCTGTGGGTGAATATTTGATTAGCAATAGTATTGGTCTCTGCAGTATGCCTGGATTCCCAAAGTGTCGTCATATTGAAATGCAATCTTTACTTGACTGCTCTGTAATTAGCACATATCCAGAAAATTCAGTACCGTTTATAGAGACAAACCAGCAGAAAATTACCCTTTCGATGACTGTGCGAGCCTATATCTTCAGGTAAAGCCTTCTCTTGTGACTAGAGAAAGCAGCTTCCACATTCTTACAAGGTCTCATTGCCAAATCTGTAACTTAAGCCTCCTGTTTTGTCCAGGCAGCTGGACCTCTGGGGAGGGAGGAAGGTTATGGGGAGAGAGGGTAAAAGCTTATTCTAGCTGTATCCTCGAACCAGGGAAGGTGCAAGACCATCCTGTACTCACCATGTGGGCAAATGTTGTCGTTGAGGCCCTCCAGTGTGTAAGCAGGTAGCCAGAACTTTTAATTTATCATTGGGAAGCTTTGCAAAATGGGCTGATGAAATTGGAGGGAAAGCAAGAAGGGTATCATCTGGCTTTTCTGTGATACTCTGAATTTTAAGTTTCAAGGACTAATTTTTCTAGGAGTCACGTGAAGACAGCGGTCTTTGGAGAATTCTGCCTATTTTTCATTCACTTATGATGAAGCATCAGCAAGGTTGCGTGGTCGCTGCTGTAAGACTAGTCAGGACGTCGCTGCACCAGAAAAAGCAGTTTAGAGGATCACAGACACACCCTAAACAAAGCTTCTTTTGAAGAGGAAGGTGAGAGTCTAGCCTTAAATGTCCAGACCATTGTTTCCTTAGTCTTGGCATCACTTTATCTTTCAACTGTCATTTCCAGCATTTCTTTTGAAAAGGTCAGTCACGAGACCCAGCCGGTTAATTAAGGCTTCATTGCGTGCTTGCTGCTGTACAACACTTGACTGCATGTCAGAAGAGAAGTTGGGCATACGGCTTCCACCGGGAAGAATGTGGTTTAAATGTTTGGCCTCTATTTCCTATGACTTCGGGTGTAGTTAGGGCCAGGTGACAAGGAAACGAATGTCTTAGATGTGCTCAAATATATTTGCGTTATTGTGGACCTGAGTAAAGTCCTGAATGTTTCACTACAAATAGGTTTCAGAGTCATTAAGGGCTGTACAGCACAAATACGGGTGGGTGTCTTTTAAAACCTCGGCTTCAAGGTTACTTTGTACTGATGTTTTGAATTCTTTCATGAACTAGCCTTTTCAACACAGAAATCACAAAACTACCTTTTGTATTTCTTCAATTATTGATGGAGAACCTAACAGTTTTAGTCTGAGAGATAAATCCTTGGTATCTGTTCTCTTATTTTCCTGACTGAGGAAGGTAGTTTTAAATGCTAGTGCCATGTCTCTTCTGTTTACCTGAAAAGACTGTTTTTCGTGTGTGTCTTCCAACGCAACAGCGGCTGAGAAAGTGGCTCTCATGGTCCTGTTCATGAAGGAGCACCCACTTCTGAGGCTGGCTGTTTTTTAATGTTTTTGGAGGGTAAGTGTCGTGGTTTAAGCCCAGCCAGCAATGAAGCACCACGCAGCCTCTCGCTCACTCCACCCCATTGGGATGGGGGAAAGAATTGGAAGAGTAAAAGTGAGAAAACTCGTGGGTTGAGATAAAGGCAGTT